TTTCTAATCCTGAAAAGATTTGCAGCCTCGGAAACCCTGTGCAGGTTCACTATGAGTTGGAAGTGACTCCACAGTACTTAACAACAACAGCAACCACAATACTGGTGGTTCAAACCTACCAATTATTCCTGACAAACCCTATACAGGTTTGCTATCAGTTGGAACCGACTTGATGGCGCTTAACAAGAAAAAGAACATAATTACATACTCTGACAGAACAGGTTTGAATGTGGTCATAATTTCAGGAAGAGTATAAAATGTTATCTGGGTCCTTACTATACTTAAATAAAATAGGAGATACATATATCTACTTAAAAAAATTATTTCATTCAAACACTTACATTCCTAGTGATTTCCCTCAGTGTAAGATTTAGAAGATTGTCATATACTTACATATACAATGCCTGAGGACCTATCATTGATGCGAGGAATGCAGATACCACACCAGACCCTGACCCTACTTCAAGGCATATTTCCACTCTAAAAAGAAACGAGCTTTAGTATTGTTGTTGTTAAATGCTGTTAAGTCACAGAGACCTGTATAGGGTTTCCAAGGAGCAGCTGGTAGGTTTGAACCACTGACCTTGCAGTCCAGTGTTTATCCTACAGCACCAAACCAGGACTCTTGAAATATTAGTATGGTAAGATCGAAATACACTTTGCAGAAAATAATTCTCATGTTTTAATGTTTATTTCCTGCTATTATCACTCACCTGCAAATACAAGGGGGTTTCAAAAGTTCTTGGAAAAATGGAATAGAAAGATAATGGAATTTTTCCATGAAGTTTTTGAAGCCCCCCCCCTTGTATATGAAAATATAAAACAAATTCATAATTTGTACTTAAATTTAATGGTGGGTTACTCAAAATTGCTAAAAATTTGGGAGTGTAATTTATCTTAAATCTTCACAGTAGTAATAGATTACAAAAAGTGGCTTTCAATAAATTTCAACAAAACATTAAAACTACAGAATAAATTATTTTAGAGTTTGAAATATGATAGAATCTTTTCCTACAAGGAGCTTACAGTTTAGTATTTCTTAAAATGATAAGATTAGTATTATTACAAATATTTGAGAGCTGTTTTCTGTCATGTTTTAAATACATGTTGTTGTTAAGTGCCTTCGACGGGTTCCGATCCTGAATCGCTGACCTTGCAGTTCAAACGGCAGTCTGAGCATTAACCCATAGCACTATACCAGGACTCCTTTAAATATATGTTGTTGTTGTTAAGTGCCATTGAGTTGGTTCCGACTCATAGCAACCCTGTATAGGGTTTCCAAGGAGCAGCTGGTGAGCTTGAACCTTCGACCTTGCAGTTCAAACGGCTGTGCAGTCTGGCACGTTAACCCACAGTGCCACATCAGGACTCCCCTTTAAATATACAGCGTTTGTAAATTCATCAGCATATAGGGATGGGGTGAGGGGAGATCTCCTATTTAACCAGTAAGACATTTAGAGCAAAAAAGGAAACCCATATTTGGACAGCTATATGTTAAATTGTGTAGCGCTGTAGGATATGCACTAGACTGCCAACTCACAAAGTCCAGCAGCTCAAACACAGCAGCTGGTCCTCAGAAACCCTATACAGGGACTCTGAGGAACTCACTTGACTGCACTCAACAACATGCCAAATTGAGAAAGTATCAAATATCTGACCTTAGAATGTTACAAATAATAATCTCAAAATGCTATTAAATATAATACAATCTTTATTCCACTGTATTTTATCCTTCAATTAAATTTATTTCCCCACTACAATCTTAAACATGCATCAGAGGCACCAGTTACTCCCATTACAGAGATAAAAGTGTCATGAGTTAAGGGTCCCTGTAGTTCTTCTATCAAACAACCCCCGACAACAATATACACTGGGCATTCCTAACTTTTCAAATAGTCCACATATATGAAAAGTTTTTATTATGCTGTAGTTAAAAAGATATGTGGATCTTAACAGGTGGCTTCTAGTTTGAAATAACTATCATGGCCTCATAAATAATTAGAATTCCAAGACCACAAATATTCAAGACTTTATAACAAAAATCAGCTCCTTTTATAGCATACTTTGTAATGCAAGTTGTGCTTGTAAATCTTTCTGGGATATCTTGAGAATAAAAGACAAGTTATAAAACAGTGCTGTTCCACTCCATATTCCAGTAAATCAAAGTTCCATCATTCACAATGAAAAATCAGTTTAATAAAAGTTGGGGCATTTTACACATGGAAAAATCCAACTATGTTTAAGACACATAAATTAGCACATTATAGAATCTGAAGTCCAACAGCTCTTTATTTCACCCTGAGAAAACCTAGTTCAAGTTTTTATCTTTAAATTAATTATTCAAATGCCCTCATGAGAAAAAATTACAAGAGACATTCATTTAAAAATTTATCTTACTAACTCAGTTTAAAATTTAGAGACAGCACTTCCATCAAGTCAATTTTAATATTTGCAAGTCTCTAGGGTTGATTTTGGAGTCTTGGTGTGGCGCTGTAGGGTAAGCACTGGACCACAAGATTGGTTTGAACTGCAAGGTTGATAGTTCAAACTCACCAGCTGTCCCTCGGAAATCCTATACAGGGTTGCTATTAGTCAGAACCGATTGGATGGCACTAACAACACGGTAGATTCTGGGGTCCTGATTAGATGTAGGGTAAACACTAGACTGTAAACCGCAAGGTTGGTAGTTCAAACCCATCGGCTCCTCAGAAACACTATACAGGGTTGCTGCTTAAGTCGGACCGCCTCCACGGCACTTAACAGGGTAGATTCTATAGATAGTTGTTAAATTAGGTAGCCACTAGCAACAGTTAACTGTTTAAATCCTTTACAATTAAATTAACAGTTTTCAGTTGCACGTTTCAAGGACTCAGTAGCCTCGTGGTTACTTTACTCTGAGCAGTGTTTTAAACAGGTCAGAGTATGTTATTAAGTGAATATAAATATACTTCTCCATTCTAATACATCACAACCTATTTTTCTGCCCTTCCATTGCCTTTTGTGTACTGAAAAAAGAGCAAATAATGCCATTTTAATATTTACCTAACAAAAAACAAGCGTCATGTTTTCGGACTATTTTCTGATTGTTTATAAATACAGTAATTGCCTTTAAAGGCACGCATTCTTCAGACTAACAGGTACATACATCATCCCCTGTTAAGAATGCTTGGAGGTCAGAAAACCAAAGCAAGACGTTGGCAAAAGAAGAACTATCCCTGGCACACTCATTACAGGAAGCTGCAAGAGCACTGGCTTTATCATTTCAGTGTCAATGACAGGCTAGCGGCAGACGCATGTCTTTTCGCTCCCCTCCTCCGTTGCCTGGCCAGGACTGTCTAGATCCTCCCCCGTGGGGTCCTCGCCTTCCTCGCACCCAGCAAGCTCGGCTGCTGCCGCCTCGAGCGCGTCCAGCAGCAGGAACGTATCCTCCGCTGGCTCGTACACCTCACTAAAGTCTCCGCGTCTCACGTGCCCGTACAGCGGGGTTGGACAGCTCAGCGCCGCCATCTTCCCTCTCTTCACCCCGCGCACATGCGCCAGGGAGGCACATGCGCAATGGAGTGGGTTCGGGAGTGAGGGCGGAGCGCTAAGGAAGCCTGGATGCGGAGTCTTGAGCTTCTATCGTTTTAAGAGCTTGTCAGTAGATGCTCTTTTTTTAAAAAAAACAACAACAAAAACACCAGAAAATGTTTTAATTGTAAAACTAACTTGAGGGGCGGTGAGGGCGGGGCACTGAGGGGCCAGGAACCTGATTCTTCAGATGGTGGTTCTGTCCCCGATGCCACCCAGCAGGACAGGGGTTGCCTGTCCCCAAAGCAGGGTCAGGGGCTAGTATTATAAAATGGCAATATAAATAGATTTCTAGAGAAGAGGGGGCTACCCGGGTGCATTAGTCATTTCTGCAGCGGCAAGGGGATGGCCCCCTGGTCCTCATCTGTTCCAACAGAGTGCACAGAATAAAGGGAAAAGGCCACTCTTCAGACATTCATGATCGACCCGCACATGGCTGGGGGCGGGGGTGGGGGTGGGGTGCTGTATATTAGGCAAGATCTGAGACACCCACTTGTGGGGCCCTGCACATGCGCACGCTCACGCACAGAGTCTCTCGTAGTGTTCTCTTCCTGCGGCGGCCTCGCTGCAGGTTTCCAGTGATGGAGGGCCCGACCGTCCAGGAGACCGGGGACAAGGACCAAGGCCTGTCCTGGATTGAGGGACATGGATTGAGATGGCCTGGGAGCCTCCTTGCTCCCACGAGTCCCTGGGTTTTCTTTAAAAGTCTCAACTGGAGTTCAGTAGTAGGGCCCCGTGCCCTGAGAGGAGGGTGGCACCACACGGAGTGTCTCCTAGGGGGGAGGGGAGGAGTGGGGGGCCGGCCCCCTACTGGCCTCCAGTGGGGCTCTTTGGTTGAGGGGCAGGCACGGGGCCTCATCTGGTGCTGTTCTGGAGCATGAGGAACATGATGCTTGGTGGCGGCCCGGCCTTGGTCAGGAAGGGGTGCTTTAGGAGCTCAGCCGACATGGTCCACTGGGCAGGGTCCAGTACCAGCAGGCAGGAAACCCTTCAAGGAGGCCGTGACCTTGTGCAGGTTCTTCAGTCGCGGTGGCAGATTGTCCCTAATCATCTTCATGGCTTTGAGGGGCGGCTCATTGAAGTAGGAGGGTTCCCCGTCCACCATCTCAATCACTATCACCCCCGAGACCAGATGTCCACCTCTGGCCCGTAAGGAAGGCGGGAGATGAGTTCCGGGGCCATCCAGTAGGGTATGCCCATCAGAGACTTCCTCCGTGGCACCTCCTTGCTCATCTGGACGCAGAACCCAAAGTCTAACAGCTTCACCCGGCCATCGTGGAGCAGCAGGATGGAGTCACTCTTGATGTCTTCGTGGATGACGCCCTGGGCGTGGAACACAGACAAGGCCTGCAGCACCGCCAGGCATACAGCAGCAATCTGCTCCTTGTTCATCCTCTTGTGGGTGATGATGTCCAGGGACTCCATCACTACCCAGAGCTCATTGCCCATCAGGTAGCTATTGTTCATCTCCACCACATTCTCGTGCTGGTAGTCATGCATGATCACCACCTAGTTGAAGAACAGTTCACGTCTCTGCTGCTTGCATAGTAGATCCATCTTCTTGACGGCCACCAGCTTGCAGGACCTGTGCACAGTGGCGATCGCGCACATGATGCCCGTGGAGCCCTCACCGATCTTGATGAAGTTGTCCAGGTAGGAGCGAGGGTCGCCGGGGTCCACCACCAGCTGTAGGGTGGCCTGGAACTGCTCATGGGACACGCACTGGTGCTCACTCTGGGGGGAGCGGGGGCCAGGGGCTGTGGGAACAGTGGGGGGTGCAAGGACGGCAGGGGTACTGGACAGGGGTGCCAGTTGGGGCTTGAAGGCATGGGGGCCCAGCACTCTGGGACTGTGGCTGCCTCGGACGTGGGCAGAGGTTACTGAAAATACCACGGCTTGGGTCAGGTGCACCTTAGTCCTCAAACTGACATCTTTGCTCTTCAATACTTTAAAATTGTGGGCACTCTTAAATTATTTTTGTATATTTTGTTGTTGTTTTTCTCCTCCTAAACCCTATAAAGGTTCGTTGTGAGTCGCAACTGACTCGACGGCGCTTAAAACAACAAAGTTTCCAAAGAATTTTAGAAATCTGTATGGTTACTAAATCTTCTTCTAAACATCAGTTGAGCTTTCAGATTTGAATTTTATCATTAAGACTTTCCGTCTTAATCTATTGTGCCTCGAAGTCGCCGGTTCAAACTCACCAACCACTTCTCAGAAAACATATACAGACAGGGTCTCTATGAGTTGAACGGATTCGAAGACAGTTAACAATAACACTACATTAATTGTGCGTCGTGGTGTGGTGCTGTGGGTTAATGCGCCAGACTGCAAAGCCGTTTGAACTGCAAGGTTGGCGGTTCAAGCTCACCAGAGTCTCCTTGGAAACTCTATACAGGGTCGATATGGGTTGGAACCGACTTGATGGCACTTAACAACAACAATGTTGAAATATATATATATGTTGTTGTTATGTGTCGTGGAGTCGATTCTGACTCATAGCGACTCTGTACAGGGATTCCGAGGCTATAAATCTTTACAGGAGCAGAAATCCTCATCTTTCTCCTGCGGAAAAGCTGGTAACTTCGAACAGCTGACCTTGAGGTTCGCAGCCCAATTCGTGTCTCTCTCTCTCGCCTTCAAAGAAGATGATACATTTTTCTTTTAAAACACTGCTGTGTTTGGAATGCTAATACACTTGTTCTGTGTTATGTCAAGATTATGCTAACCTCACAGGTTATTAGGACTCTGTTTCTGGAACATTTGGTAGAACTTCCTCATAAAACAGACTGAGCTTGGTTCCTTTTGTAGTGGGGATATCTGACATTTCGAAAGCATCTTCTGTATGTTATTAGACTATTCTTGTATTTGCATTCTTTTGAATCAGTTTGTTTATTTTCCAGTAAGACATTTGTTGTTGTTGCTTTTAAGCGTGTCAAGTATGTTCTGACTCGTAGCAACCCGGTGTAGTGTTTCCCACGAGCAACTTTGCAGTTAGTAGCCCAGTGCTTATTTTATATTGCCACACCAGGACTCCATAGAAAGTAGTTTGATTACATTAAAAATAAAAACAAAAATTCTAACTACTCACCTCTCAGAATTAACAATATTTGCTTTAACTATTTTTAGAATTGTTGTTGTCAAGTACCGTGGAGTCGGTTCCGACTCATAGTGAACTTGCACAGGGTTTCCGAGGCTGTAAATCTTTACAGGAGCAGAATGCCTCACTACGCTACCAGAGCTCCTTTTTAGAATGCTGTTGTTGTTGTTGTTATGTGCCGTGGAGTCGGTTCCGACTCATAGCGACCCTGTACAGGGTTTCCTAGGCTGTAAATCTTTACGGGAGCAGAACGCCTCATCTTTCTCCTGCGGAACAGCTGGTGGTTTCGAACTGCTGACCCTGACGTTCGCAGCCCGATTCGTAACCACTACGTTACCAGAGCTCCTTTTTAGAATACAGAGAGTTAAAATCTTAAAAATGTTCCTCACCCTTGATTCCATTCTATAGGCTGCTATTAAATTAGGTAGTCTCTGGTAGCATAGTGGTAACAAAATACCACAAGGTGGATAGTTTAAAATAATATCTTTATTATTCTTTCACAGTTCTGGAGGCAAAAAGTCTGAAAGCAAGTTTTTGGTAGAGCTATCCTTCCTCCAAATCCTATATGGGAGGATTCTTCCATGTTTCTTGAAGTTTCTGGTAGCCCTTAGTTTGTGATTTGTAGCATGATTACTGTTAGATGTAACTTTAATCTGACTCTGTCTTCTCACGTGGCCACCTTCACCTCTCTGTCTATGTGTCTTCACATGATATGTGTTTGTCTGCATCTCTTCTTTTTTGAGAAGGACTCTTGATCGTATTGGATTAGGGCTCATCTTACCCCTGTATCTTAAGTAATAATATCTGCAAAGGCCCTATGTCTATAGAATAGATTCTCTTTCAAAACCTCAGAAGGAATCAACATGACTAACTTTATCTCAGACTCTGCTTCTAGAACTGTGAGACATTAAGTGTCAGTTGTTTAAAACCGTCACTTTCTTAAATTTTGTTATTGTAGCCACAGGAAACTAAAACACAGTACCATAGGGGGCTGAGTCTGGACAGCAGCTGCATGGCTAATTTCATTTCATTGCTTCCTAACAGGCAAAACCAGAATCTTGGTCAGTGATGTGGTTTTAGGAATATTTCTGGAAGTTCAGTTCAGAACTGAGCTTCTTAAGACATCTCAGTGGTGTGGCACCCTTAGAGTATCCTGCAATATACTGATTTTAGTTTAAACTAATTAGAGTCGAAACTGCTGTATGCCACGGAACCTACACTGAAGCATGTTTTGTTGTTAAGTGCTGTCAAGTTGGTTGCAATTTATACTGACCTATATAGGGTTTCTCTGGTAGCGTAGTGGTTACGAAT